TTTTATGGTCCTAAAGCCTATTCATCCCTGCGATCCTGGACTTCGTGCGACCCAAATTAACCGAAAAAAGGCCTGGCACGGTAGGTCTGGGCCACCCTGTTTAGAAATATCCTTCCCTATCGATTCCCCAAGACCTTCCGAAGTTTCTTATCGAGTCCTTGGAATATTTGCGGATTACATACGCCGTCCCTGAAAAATCGTTGAAATTTCATGGGAAATGAGATAAATATGAAATTTTATGCAAAATATCATTGAATTGTATGAATAAATTCAGCCGCCCAACCACTCGCTTTCGAATGCATGTATACGCGCACCTGCAAAACCGAAGTGTATAATTTCTGCAATGATGATGGATTTTATGAAGAGGTTGCGTCGTTATGCTTTTAACATTTTGTACATCGACATCGAAGCCTCAGAAGAGCAACGAAAAAAGCTGTGTTTAATAGTCGATGAATATCACACTACACTGCCTTGATAGTGTGGAGGCTTATTTATCGCCTTCAATTCCCCGTGATGCAAAATTACCTACACTTCGTCCTATTTTTCCTATCACTCATGGATTCGACGGAGTTGGCCGCATTTGTGCATTAATTTCGGAATTTTGTACGGCTATCATCGTGGAAGGGTTACATTGACCACAAACACACTCCCAGGAATTTTTGTATTAGTATTATTTTGTATTTTAAATGACGCCACGATATTCTGACGATATGACTGGAGAATACTTGGACCGCGTTTAGCAGGAAGAAACCAAGCCACATCTTTTATTGCCAAATTTAATTGGGCAATTTTATTTTTTATAAGAGACCGTTTATGTGCATTCCTTTAAAAATTTCAAGGAATTTCATTCAATCTATGTAGAGAATTTACTGAAATTTGCACAAAAATCCGCACAACCGTTCTGATGTAAAAAGTTAAATTATCCAATTAAATTTGGCAAAAACTAATGTGACTTGGTTCCTATCTGCTTAACTCGGTTCACTTGGACTACATTCTACGATATGAAACTACTTTACGCGGCTCATTATAGAAACACCGTATGTGTCGTTGATTTCCCTATTCAGATACGTGATTGCATGGATGAGACAGAAACAGTAGTTCCTTATACACTGGAAAGAAAAAACACATTGTATCTGGAGTCCAGACTCTTAAAAACATCGACAAGAAAAAATACTCTTGATTCAATCGGATTTTTGCTTAAACCAAGAACCAAGCCTCTTAATTTGAGCGGGTTTCCTTTCGATTTAAGCTTAAATGTGATTGAATCAAGAGTATCTTTTCTTGTCAATGTTTTCAAGAGTCTATGGACTCCAGGCCCAAAGTGTTTTTTTTTTTTCCAGTGTAGCAAAATGTAGTTCATTTTATTGAAGCAAATGTATGACATGAACAAGTAGGGCCCGTAGTTTTAGTTAAAGTATACTTGCCTGTCTAGTTTTTAGTCTGGTCTTTCGGGTCTGACCGGCCTCTCTGTCATTGGCGATGTTGGCCGGGTTTGGCGATGTCCGGGGCGGTGTCGGTTTGTCCATCTCGTTGTCATTTATGTCCTTCTGACAAACGCCAACACTATTCACCCCGGAGCAATTTTTTTTCACAGTCCGGTGTTTCTCCTTGCACTGTTGCCGTTTTCGCCATTTTTTCGCCACAGTCACAACGTTCACCGCTGTCCGCGGTCGCGGATCATCACGTGCCGATTGGACCTGTGATTAAAATATTTCAATTTTTTCCATCTTTCTTTTCTTTTTTTGGATGATAATAATTCCTTCTCCTACAGGGGAAAAGTGGAATGAAAAGAAGAAGAAGAAAAAACCACTTTGATGGCTAAAGTGCGAAACCACGTATCTCCATTGTGGCATTTCAAAATTCCCGCTCCTATTTCATTTTTTCGATTGAAAATAAGCGAACTTTGTAGCTTGAAATTTGTTTCGCATATTATGCTTACGGAGAGGAAAACCCGAGGAAAGTTTTCAAGAAATTACGTTGACTAGATTTTCAAGAAAAAAACTGAGTATGACAGACAGTCTACAACGTCACAAACGGAGATACGTGGGTTCGCACTTTAGCCATTGACTCATGATCAACTACGGGGCAGAGAAAATTGAATTATTGATATCAGAGGAGAGAGGAGTCATTTACGAACAATTCAGCATGGAAAAACATTAAAAAAAATGAACCAATTTTCTCTTCGATCTTTGATCACAACTACAGGAAAGTTCGGAAATGCCTATTAATATCAATATAATATTATATCGTAATTATTGGAGTGGAGTTAATCGAATGCATTTAAGCTGAAAGGAACTGCGTGCAAATGGATTTAAAAAAAGGAAATTTGTGAGAATCGGTTGCAGGCTGGAAGGCTCCTTTCGATTTAGGTTATTTGCGCTTAGTTCCTTGCAGCATGTATGGACCAACTTTAGGACTATTTGCGTCGTAAGTATTTGATAAAATTGTAAATTATTGTTCGGGCTCAATTTCAGTAAACTTGAAGAAGGGTGTTCGACCCTTGGATGCAGCGCAATCACTTGAATAATTGCTTTAAACGCAGGGATCCACGCGTACAAACCCTAATACCAACATCATCCTGTAAAGTTATATCATTAACATGAAGCAGTGAGCTCTCTTTCACGAACAGGCGATGCGTAAATTCCGCACCCAACACCGTCCTCGATACGTAGTACGGTGAGCTGCACTAATTTACAACACACGAGGTAAAATGGGTCTTTTTGCGTTTTGCGTTTATATTTGATCAAAAGTTTCGACGCAAAAATATACGTCATAGATTCCAGGCACTTCAGGAATGAAGTGGCGTAGGGTCGTGTTTCCAGTAGTTCCTTAAACAGCCTCTTTCCCTAGGATTTCTAGAACTTTTAAAATTTTTAGAATTCGTAGAACTTCAGCGCGGATCTCTTTGAAAATTAATTCGCCGAAATTTGCACAGAAATCCGCACAACCGTTTTCATGTAAAATATTAAATTACTCAATTAAATTTGGCAATGGCTCATGTGGCTTGATTCCTTTCTACTTAACGCAGTCCAAATAGCGTTCTCAAATGAATCAATGAGAACGAAAACACACCAAATCGAAAAAATGAAAATAATCAAGATACATACAAAACTACACAGAAATTAGTCTGGTAAAACGATTTTTGGTGCCTTAAGGCAAGTACTTAAGAACACTTTAAATGTCCGAGTTGGAAGAGTTGCGGTAACTTCAATGCCCTTTATGAAAATTGACTGTCTTTCATGAAAAGTGAACATTTTCCAGCTACAGAGTTGGTGTGTTATCGTTCTCACTGATTCAAATTGTGAATATTCCGCGGAGGAGGCTCCTTCAATTTTTTCAGATAACTATTGCTGCAGGCAGGATGTCTGTAGTATACCTTCCCAATTGAAGGCGCAGTTCAGGGTATTTACGTGCAGCAGTGGCATCCAAGCATGTTTTTACCTGAGGTTCAGTACTGGCATAGGATTCATCATCGGTCTGGTTGCAAGGTTCCTCGTCATCGACGCTCTTCCACGTCTTTAAACTCTCCCGTCGGATGGCGTCCTCCGACCAGAGGGTGAAAAGGGACAGACCCGTGTTGCAGACCGGCAGCCCGAGGAGGTCGAACAAGTCGTGGAGCATTGGTTTCTTCACGGCTGGATCCACATCACAGTCGTTGCCTAGGGCTGGGCTTAGGTTAACCTAAAAAAGGAGAGAAAAAAATCAACGCACATTGAAAAAAAAACTCCCGCCGTGGAAGCCGCACTTACGGGCCACATGCCGTTCGCTCTCCAGGCTCAGAGGCCGAAAGTTCCGGGCGTAGCACCCGGAGCAATATATGCTACGGCTCCAGCACCCGGGGGTAACAGACGGTATGCCTAAATAGTAGCCCGTAACTTTTTTTCAGTGAATATAACTATTTTGCGGTAAAAGAATTTGAAAGCGGGTCTTCGCCGCCGTATTTTATCTTTTTACTATAGTAAAAAAAAATAAGGCCTTTTTTGTGTGTACGTCCGTGTCATTTCGCATT